TGGTTGATGTCCGCCTGGAGCCTTGCAGTGTCTGCAATGGAAGACACTGTCATGCAGATTCGGGTGTCATCTGCAATAGGTTTAAAACCCACTCGTTCCCTGATTTGAAAGAAGTTATTTGTATACAGGTGCTCCTCGATTATGATGGGGGTATGCTCCAACGGATCCATCGTAAGGTGAAAATATTGTAAGTCAAATACAAATGTGATATGATTGATAATAAATACTGTATTTTGCTGTGTGTCTAATGACACGCCTTTTTTTTCCATAAAATGTCTCCAAAAACCACCCTGCATCCTATAAACTGAAGGTCAGTGATGGGAGCTATAAGTTTGGGGTGTGGGGGGCTGTAGCTCTCCGTTACATCCAATGCCGAGCAATTTAAACTAAAACAAGTCTTATAAGCTGCGAAATATGGTAACTACTGTCACTGAATAACTAAATAAATAATTACTGTAACTAAATACCAGTATTAAAAGGTAAATAAAGGAATACAAGTCAGTATTATCAATAAATGTACAGTACTGTTCAGTGCAAAATGTGCATATCTGTCGCACAATTGTAAAGTCAAAATATCATAAGTTGAACCATCGTAGGGTGGAGAACATCTGTACTTGAAACTATTGTCTTCTATGTCAAGGGTTCTTAACATTTTTAGGATTACATACCCCTGATAGATTGCCCAATATGTCTCCATACCCCCTTCCTAGACTGTCAAAATTATCACCCCCACCAGTCCTAACCGGTACCAGTATGACTTCTAAAAGATGTCACTAGCTTGGTTTTACTTTACATATGGATAATAGCAACAGAACAGCTGACAGAAAGTCATAAGGATTTTTTTTTTTTAACACATTGGCGGTCTCCCACCGAAGCAAGGTGACCTGAAAAAGAAGAAACTCTTTCATAATCACTCTCTCCATCACTGTCTTGCCAGAGGCATGCTTATACTACAGTTCAAAAAATGCAATGTATGTTCACACCTCCTTCAGAGTGCAGGCACTGTACTTCCCGCCTCCAGGATTCAAGTCCGGCGAACCAGTTTTCCTGAATCCCTTCATATATGTTAGTCTGCTCGCCCTCAACAGCATGTCAAGGTCGTGTAAAGCATTTGCTTCCCCTTATTCCTGTCTAACATGATCACGCATATTTGATAGGAGAAAAGCGGCAAATTGTTCAGAGATGGAGTCCCATACCCCCGGTTAAGAACTCCTGTTCTAGATGATAGAAAAAAAAGGAAGGTGTGTGACACAGGTTCGTAGCGGCTGATCAGCATTCATAAAACAGTTATATTTTTAATATATCTCTTGGACCTTGTTTGTAGGTTGGGTCATTGAAAACGGAACATCATAAGTTAGGGTCGTGCTCTACTCTAATTAGTACCTCTTATGATTTTATTGTTGTTGGTGATTGGACAATTTATGTTCAATCAACCCTGTACTATATTTACCCCTAGGATTTCATTGTTATTTGAGGCATTGCTTGACAGAAAGGAATAAGTGCCGGATTTTCACCCTGGAGTAAAATGCAGGTGTGGGGGAGATGGGTGCTGTAAAGCTCAAGTTACCATATTTTGTTATGGGAATCTGAGCTAAACTTACACATTCAAATTCATATTAAAAATTTATTTCCACACGATACAGTTTGTACAGAAATGGTTGATGCTTGATAATTCATGTAGGAAACCCATGTTTATGTAGAACACTTCAGGCAGAAGACAGTATCTGAACATTCCCACAAATATGCCAAACATCAATCAATTCATTCACTGGCCAGGATGGTGGTGATTACTCTGTTCTGTCCTGCAATGCCTTTTTTATCATTGGACATTGTATGTCAAATCAAGCCTTTGTTATATTTACTGCTATGATTTCATTGTGACTTATGATTGGAGACTATATAAGCTACCAGTCATCAGTGGTGCAGCCACGATTTCAATCTGGGGACCTTAAAACATCACTCAAAAAAAATTAAAAAAATCTATTTTAAAAATTTTAAGTATGTATGTGAGACTATTTAAACTTTTGTGCTTTTTTGGTCAATGACCATGAAGGTATTGGCATATGGGGTCCTTTAACCCTCTTATAACCCCCTTCCCATGGCTGCGTCACTACTATTTACAGTTTAAATTAACCGTTCACCACTTCCAATCATGATACATGACCGTTCTTTGGTAGCTATCGTGTTTCCAATCTTGGACCCCCCTATTGAGTATTCATGTAAGTAAAGGGTGGCTAAGGGGATCCCACTAGGGGGTTTTGAGCCAGTATTCACATTTCTCTAAGATGACTCTTTTTGTTTGACCAAGAATTAGGCTCTCCACTGTTAGAAAATAGTTGATTTTGCAATAGAATTTTGTTGACATTGATGCCTTTCAACTTGAGGTTGAATGACCAAATCAAGTGAGAGACGGCAATGATTTTGTATAATAATAATAATAATAATAATAATAATACAGTAATAATAGTATAAAATTTTATTTTTTTAATAGAGATATTTGGTACAAAGATTTCTTACATGCAAAAGTTCATATTTAAGCAAGGAATTTTGGGCAAGTAATTCCCTCTTGAATGGAAATTCAGATACAGAGTAGAAAGGATCTTCATACACAGTGGTTGCATATGTGGGGTTGAAGCCCCTAAATAATAATAATAATGTAGTTTGGAGGATCATGTAGACTGTGATGTCGGCATACTTCTGGCAAGAATGACGATGAGTGTGTTTCCTCTTATTTTTTGGGTCACCATATCTAGGTGGGAGATGACCTGTGTATTAAAAAACAAAAACATAGTTTGAAGATGGGTTCCCAAGCTCTCTTGTCAGCTAGACTACACCCTGAGTCACTCCTAAATGGAAATTCTGGAGTCGCTTCCATGTATACAGTAGCCCTCTGCTATTTAAACGTTAAACATTAAAATATAAATTATTTAAGAGTCATACAAAGACAGTAATTATATGTTTGAAATGATTACATTTAAGGTTGATGTTGTAATAAGTGATGGAGTGAGTGATGATGGAAGTGTTTCTCTTTTTCCAGGTCATCCTATCTTGATGGGAAACGGCCGATGTGTTAATAAAAAATTATACAATTTAAGGTTCATTAGAAAGTCACTAATTAAGCAGATGCAAAGTGAATCGTTTTAGGCAGTTCATTACAGATCGGGCTGTGGGGGCGTTGAAAACCCCCTCCAGGTATATTATACAGTTAGGATGATTGACATATATTACTGATTTATAGAAAGTATGTACTTTGTGTAAAACGTTTCAGGCAGAATTGAAACTAATTATGATTTTAAGTGTATCCTCTGAGCGAGGAGTGTGACTGGTGATTGATGGCACTCTGTAGGACACCACCACCACCTATAGGACATGAAGCCAGGGACAACTGTAGAACATGAAGCCAGGGACACCTGTAGGATTTGAAACTGGGGACACCTGTAAGATTTGAAGCCAGGGACACCTGTAGGATTTGATGCCTGGGACACCTGTAGGATTTGAAATGGGACACCTGTAAGATTTGAAGCCAGGGACACCTGAACCCAGGGACACCTGTAGCATTTGAAGTCAGGGATGCCTGTATTACAACTTCAGACATCTTCATGGGATCAAGTTTGCCTCTAAAGCAAAAATCAACTCTTAGTTTAACGTACATCAATTTGACAGCTTTCAAAACTATGGGATAAAGTCTGTTGCTCAACTTGTTTAGAAATGACGAAGAAAGTCCATTATTTAGAGTGTTCTTTCTTTCAGTCATGATGTAATGTTCTCATCTATCCTCCATGGTTACGGTTGTTATCCGCCTGTTACCCATCTATTAGAGTGTTAAACTGAAGTTTTACTTATCCTTTCTATTGCATTTGACTTTCTGTCAGTATGGGAATTACACTGATCAGCATATATAATACAGCATTCTAAATGCTTACAGTACACATATTTGAGCCTAATTCTTTTGCACCATATTTTTTATTTTTATTTATTTATTTATTTATTTTTGTAAATGCTGCGTGAAATGTTGGTCTATGTCACTGACTTGCTGTTTATAGTTGATCCAAGTGATGATAGACATTTTGAGTATGATATAGTGTCCTCCATGTTTTTGAATACAGTACACCTATTGAAAAAATGTAGTGGGAAACATTTAGATTTACGTTTTGTACAGCTTTATACGACTGTACAGTGAACCTTTGGCTTATTGAACCTTGATTGAATGGACCAGAATATAGTGAATTTTAATTTAATGAACTCTGATTCAACAGACCTCGATTTAATGAATTTTGTAAATCTGGGACCCAATCTGACGAGTTAATTGATTCATAACTAACTGACAAAGTTCATGGGTTACACAGTTGCCCGTTATTCAAGAATAAAAGTCACAATTGTGGGTGGAACAGTTCACAAAAAGCCTGCACTTTGGAGACCCACCATATGATGAAGCCTTGGACCCTATTGGGCCACTGTCAAGTCATGACTAAGACTTGATGATAGTCAAAGACAACCCAAAACACCATCATAAGGTCTCTTTCCTAAGTGCTATATTTAAAATGCATTGGTCATTATTGCTCCAGTGAGAGGAAAATAATCTCGTCTGTGTTGGCCACAATCACCATTACGAACCTCACCATTGGTTCGTAAAATTAAAGGTTCATGTTGTTCAGTCAGTTTTGTGATAGGTTGTCTTGACACAAGCCAACATTATCTGCATCTTTCAACAATGCATGACTCCATGGCTGGAAGTTTCATCATTTGCATTTTGGCATATCTGGTTGTCACCCTTTACTAAATGAACGCGAAAAACACTTATAGAAATAGCAGCAGTGACTCACAGTTCTGGTGTGTGCGTGTCTGTGTGTGTGTGTGTGTGTCGTAGTTAGGCTGGAACACTGCACTCGTGTCTCCATGTTTTGTCATATGTGTTATATATTTTGACATTGTTTATAGTTGCGTCAGTGGCTGGAAATAAATTGTTTACTCTTCTGTTATTGTTTATGTGCTGCTTCCAGGGATATCTTGGGAAGGTAATGTAATGTTGTGAGTGTTATCTCTCTCACTGACATCCCCTAGTGCCTCTTAATACCTCTTCCTTTCTTTAATACCTCTGACCTTCATACCTCAATACCTCTCACCTTCATACCTTAATACCTCTCGCCTTCCTACCTTAATACCTCTCACCTTCCTACCTTATACCATATAGTGCAGCAGGGAGAGTGCAGAGGTAGAATTCCTCTGCACTCTCCCTGCTGCACTATATAACATACAAACCACTACACATTACAGGTTGTATAGCATGATAAAACCCTCAAAGAAGGTTCCTTAATGCTGGTGAGGAACTCTTGATCTAAGGAATTGGACCAGTGCTCCAGTTTCTTGAATCAAAGCTGAATGTCTTCCATTCCCCAAGGCAGTGTATGACCCCTATGGGTTCAGTGCTCCCCCTGAATGTAAAAATAGCATGAAAAGGCATTTTCCCTAATAATAAGACATCTGAAACACCTTGACTTAGTTTTTCAGTCTAAAAACTGAGACACATGTGCAACATCTGGGTTTCTGTATTGTAGACGTTTTGCCATGCAGTGGCTTTATCAATACAAATTCTAGGAGAGTAGTAGGTTGGTAAACAGCAACCGCCCAGGGAGGTACTACCGTCCTGCCAAGTGAGTGTACAACGAAAGCCTGTAATTGTTTTACATGATGGTAGGATTGCTGGTGTCTTTTGTCTGTCTCATAAACATGCAAAATTTCAGGTACGTCTTGCTACTTCTACTTGCATTTAGGTCACAGTACACATACATGTACAAGCATATATATACACACACACACCCCTCTGGGTTTTCTTCTATTTTCTTTCTAGTTCTTGTTCTTGCTTATTTCCTCTTACCTCCATGGGGAAGTGGAACAGAATTCTTCCTCCGTAAGCCATGCGTGTTGTAAGAGGCAACTAAAATGCCGGGAGCAAGGGGCTAGTAACCCCTTCTCCTGTATATATTACTAAATTTAAAAAGAGAAACTTTAGTTTTTTCTTTTGGGCCACCCCGCCTCAGTGGGATACGGCTGGTATGTTGAAAGAAGAAAGAATTTGAAGACAGTAGAACTATATACAAAAGATGACGTAATCAGTCCCTCAGCCTTGGTGTTGGTGTGAAGAGCACCGTAGTCGTGAACTCTGCACATTTAGCAAACTGTTTTATTCAACTTTACTGACCTATTTCTCACTGTGTCACATTGAGGTTTACTCATTGCACAAGCCCTTGTCTTTGCCTCATTGTCTTGTACTGGCTGAATCATTGATTCTCTAACACCAGGGAAACTCAGCCACTGGAAATTAATTCTGTTCCAGTGCACCTTAATGGAAATGTGTGCCACTAATGGTAATTAATTCCACTCCTGTGAACATTAATGGTAGTGGGCAAGCATCTTCTGAAGATGAAAATGTAAACTTACTTCACATATTGAAGACAGACATGAGTTATGATCCCATTGGATAATTTTGGGGGGAATCTCTTGACCTCACTTATGGTATGGTGTCTTGACCTCACTTATGGTATGGTGTCTTGACCTCACTTATGGTATGGTGTCTTGACCTCACTATCTTCATAACTACCAACCTGCCCACTCAGTCCTTCCCCTCAAAAAAACCTTGATTGAAATGTATTAACATATAAATATTCATCAAAATCACTTTCTCATGATTTACAATCACCTCTCTGATAATAATAATAATAATAATAATAATAATAATAATAATAATAATAATAATGATAATAATACTAGTAATGATGTGTGTTTCAGGAGAGAACACTCAGTTGTACCTGGTGGTGGTGACCAAGTGCATCAAGGTGTGCACCATACAGAACACCGCAGTGCACAGGATACAAGACATCGATGTCATCTCCCTGCACTCCATGAGACCGGCCAACTACAAGGCCCAGGTTAGTCTAAACCAGAGGTCTCCAACTGTGACCTGCAGCAACTTCAAATATTTATAAATAGTAAAACTAATAAGCTCTCATTTTCAGTCACTTATTCATTTATATTTATAAGGCTTGATTTATTTCTTTGACTCAAAAAAATTGTAAAATTATATGATGTGGCAACCGTAGTGAAAAGTTTGGAGACCCCTTGTCTAAACCAGTGTTGTCAACTCTCCACTTCTCCCTCCCATGTAGGTTGCTTCATAGAGCAAGAAGAAACCACATTTACCATTATTCATTAAGTGGCTGTCATAACAGTAGTGTTTACCTCTGAGGTAGGGTGAATTAAATAAGAAAAACGCATTTACCATCATTTATTTAGTGGTTATCTTGCCAGTAGTGTTCACTGAGGTGGAATAACGTAAAGAAAGAGGAAACACATTACCCATCACTCAGTCTATCACTGTCTGGCCAAAAGTGTGCTGATATAGCAGTGCAGATGACACACTGTTCTTTTAGTAATAGGTTAAGAGAGTGGTGAAGCAATGTAAAAAGAGAGCAAATGAGAGAGTGGGTGAGATGTTATCAACAAATTTTGTTGAAAATAAGAAAAAGTTTTGGAGTGAGATTAACAAGTTAAGAAAGCCTAGAGAACAAATGGATTTGTCAGTTAAAAATAGGAGAGGAGAGTTATTAAATGGAGAGTTAGAGGTATTGGGAAGATGGAAGGAATATTTTGAGGAATTGTTAAATGTTGATGAAGATAGGGAAGCTGTGATTTCGTGTATAGGGCAAGGAGGAATAACATCTTGTAGGAGTGAGGAAGAGCCAGTTGTGAGTGTGGGGGAAGTTCGTGAGGCAGTAGGTAAAATGAAAGGGGGTAAGGCAGCCGGGATTGATGGGATAAAGATAGAAATGTTAAAAGCAGGTGGGGATATAGTTTTGGAGTGGTTGGTGCAATTGTTTAATAAATGTATGGAAGAGGGTAAGGTACCTAGGGATTGGCAGAGAGCATGCATAGTTCCTTTGTATAAAGGCAAAGGGGATAAAAGAGAGTGCAAAAATTATAGGGGGATAAGTCTGTTGAGTGTACCTGGTAAAGTGTATGGTAGAGTTATAATTGAAAGAATTAAGAGTAAGACGGAGAATAGGATAGCAGATGAACAAGGAGGCTTTAGGAAAGGTAGGGGGTGTGTGGACCAGGTGTTTACAGTGAAACATATAAGTGAACAGTATTTAGATAAGGCTAAAGAGGTCTTTGTGGCATTTATGGATTTGGAAAAGGCGTATGACAGGGTGGATAGGGGGGCAATGTGGCAGATGTTGCAAGTGTATGGTGTAGGAGGTAGGTTACTGAAAGCAGTGAAGAGTTTTTAACGAGGATAGTGAGGCTCAAGTTAGAGTATGTAGGAAAGAGGGAAATTTTTTCCCAGTAAAAGTAGGCCTTAGACAAGGATGTGTGATGTCACCGTGGTTGTTTAATATATTTATAGATGGGGTTGTAAGAGAAGTAAATGCGAGGGTCTTGGCAAGAGGCGTGGAGTTAAAAGATAAAGAATCACACACAAAGTGGGAGTTGTCACAGCTGCTCTTTGCTGATGACACTGTGCTCTTGGGAGATTCTGAAGAGAAGTTGCAGAGATTGGTGGATGAATTTGGTAGGGTGTGCAAAAGAAGAAAATTAAAGGTGAATACAGGAAAGAGTAAGGTTATGAGGATAACAAAAAGATTAGGTGATGAAAGATTGAATATCAGATTGGAGGGAGAGAGAGTATGGAGGAGGTGAACGTATTCAGATATTTGGGAGTGGACGTGTCAGCGGATGGGTCTATGAAAGATGAGGTGAATCATAGAATTGATGAGGGAAAAAGAGTGAGTGGTGCACTTAGGAGTCTGTGGAGACAAAGAACTTTGTCCTTGGAGGCAAAGAGGGGAATGTATGAGAGTATAGTTTTACCAACGCTCTTATATGGGTGTGAAGCGTGGGTGATGAATGTTGCAGCGAGGAGAAGGCTGGAGGCAGTGGAGATGTCATGTCTGAGGGCAATGTGTGGTGTGAATATAATGCAGAGAATTCGTAGTTTGGAAGTTAGGAGGAGGTGCGGGATTACCAAAACTGTTGTCCAGAGGGCTGAGGAAGGGTTGTTGAGGTGGTTCGGACATGTAGAGAGAATGGAGTGAAACAGAATGACTTCAAGAGTGTATCAGTCTGTAGTGGAAGGAAGGCGGGGTAGGGGTCGGCCTAGGAAGGGTTGGAGGGAGGGGGTAAAGGAGGTTTTGTGTGCGAGGGGCTTGGACTTCCAGCAGGCATGCTTGAGCGTGTTTGATAGGAGTGAATGGAGACAAATGGTTTTTAATACTTGACGTGCTGTTGGAGTGTGAGCAAAGTAACATTTATGAAGGGATTCAGGGAAACCGGCAGGCCGGACTTGAGTCCTGGAGATGGGAAGTACAGTGCCTGCACTCTGAAGGAGGGGTGTTAATGTTGCAGTTTAAAAACTGTAGTGTAAAGCACCCTTCTGGCAAGACAGTGATGGAGTGAATGATGGTGAAAGTTTTTCTTTTTCGGGCCACCCTGCCTTGGTGGGAATCGGCCGGTGTGATAAAAAAAAAAAAAAAAAAAAAAACAGTAATATTAATAATAATGATCTGTTACTAATAATAGTAGTACATGTAGTAATAATTGCAGGAAGAAGAGTCTTGGATAAAAGAGATGAAGAAGTTAATGGGTAATGAGAGTTTCTACTTCACCATCAGTAGTGGCACAGGTGAGGCACTGGACCTGACACTGTGTGCTCAGCGCCGCTCAAGAACTACCTGCACTGACAACAGATTCTTCTGGTGAGTACTGGTCCTTTTACACTCTTACTTCTTCAAGAGTGCTATCTTGATGTTGCTCTTACTCTCTTACTTCTGTAGTACTCTCTTATTTTTACTGTAGTAGTATTTTGATGTTGCTCTTGCCTCTAACACTAATACCACTAGATTTTGAAAAAGTCATTGACAACATGCCCATGCACTCTGCCCCAGGCTCAGACTCATAATAATAATAATAATAATAATAATAATAATAATAATAATAATATGTCTTTATTTCTACAAGTACATGTACAAGGTATACAGGCCTAGCTGACATCAATGACATACTACTATATAGAAAGCCACTTGTTATGCAGAGCATTTCAGGCAAATTAGGTCAGTTTTGTCCCAAGATGCAACCCGCACTAGTTGACTAACACCCAGGTACCCATTTTACTGATGGGAAACATAGACAACCAGTGTAAGGAAACGCCCAATGTTTTTACCCTCGCTGGGAATCAGACCCATACCCCTCACTGTGTGAAGCAAGAGCTTTAGCCACCAGGCCACTGGGCTCTCTGTGTTCATCAAATACTGCAAGAAACCCCTTTCATGTCTTAAATACAGGAGGGCCTCTGGTTTACAGTCCTTTGCTTCTCTGCAATTCACTAATGCAGCAGTTTCAATTTTTTTTTTTTTTTTTTATTTTTTTTTAACAAGTCGGCCGTCTCCCACTGAGGCAGGGTGACCCAAAAAGAAAGAAAATCTCCAAAAAGAAAATACTTTCATCATTCAACACTTTCACCTCACTCACACATAATCACCATTTTTGCAGAAGTGCTCAGAATACAACAGCTTAGAAGTATATACATGTAAAAATACACAATATATCTCTTCAAACTGCCAATATCCCAAACCCCTCCTTTAGAGTGCAGGCATTGTACTTCCCATTTCCAGGGCTCAAGTCCAGCTATATAAAATAACCTGTTTCCCTGAATTCCTTCACTAAATATTACCCTGCTCACACTCCAACAGCTCGTCAGATCCCAAATACCATTCGTCTCCATTCACTGCTATCTAACACACTCACACACGCTTGCTGGAAGTCCAAGCCCCTCTCCCACAAAACCTCCTTTATCCCCTCCCTCCAACCTTTTCAAGGACAACCCCTACCCTGCCTTCCTTCCTTCAAATTATACCAAAATATTCATTTATACACCTGATTTGCTATTGGCATGAGACCTGGCTGAGCATCCATGGCATCATTTACTTTTTCTCAGTTTGTTTACATCCTCCATGAGCTTTGCATTTCTCTTGATTCTATTTGGAAACTTTCCAAAATTTCAAGTGTTTTGAAGTTATTACGTATATTATTACACACAGTAGGGTCCTGCTTATAGAGCAGGTTAGGTTCTAGGTTACTGCTGTAAAGTAAAACAACCTTTTTATCACTTTCAGAAGCATTTAAAAGCCTGATAATATGTTTATACTATTATATATTAAGTGAGCAATAGAGCTAGGTCCTTCAACATCAACAGCTAGTCTTGAAGAACCTTCAACATCAGCAGTAACAGCAAGCCTTGAAGAACCTTCAACATCAACAGCTAGTCTTGAAGAACCTTCAACATCAGCAGTAACAGCAAGCCTTGAAGAACCTTCAACATCAACAGCTAGTCTTGAAGAACCTTCAACATCAACAGCTAGTCTTGAACCTTCAACATCAACAGCTAGTCTTGAAGAACCTTCAACATCAGCAGTAACAGCAAACCTTGAAGAACCTTCAACATCAACAGCTAGCCTTGAAGAACCTTCAACATCAACAGCTAGCCTTGAAGAACCTTCAACATCAACAGCTAGCCTTGAAGAACCTTCAACATCAACAGCTAGTCTTGAAGAACCTTCAACATCAACAGCTAGTCTTGAAGAACCTTCAACATCAACAGCTAGCCTTGAAGAACCTTCAACATCAGCAGTAACAGCAAGCCTTGAAGAACCTTCAACATCAGCAGTAACAGCAAGCCTTGAAGAACCTTCAACATCAACAGTAACAGCAGATAAGATAAGATAAGATAAGATTTCGTTCGGATTTTTAACCCCGGAGGATTAGCCACCCAGGATAACCCAAGAAAGTCAGTGCGTCATCGAGGACTGTCTAACTTATTTCCATTGGGGTCCTTAATCTTGTCCCCCAGGATGCGACCCACACCAGTCGACTAACACCCAGGTACCTATTTGCTGCTAGGTGAACAGGACAACAGGTGTAAGGAAACGTGTCGAATGTTTCCACCCGCCGGGAATCGAACCCGGGCCCTCTGTGTGTGAAGCGGGAGCTTTAGCCACCAGGCCACCGGGCCTTGAAGAACCTTGAAGCCTTGAAGAACCTTCAACATCAACAGTAACAGCAAACCTTGAAGAACCTTCAACATCAACAGTAACAGCAAGCCTTGAAGAACCTTCAACATCAACAGTAACAGCAAACCTTGAAGAACCTTCAACATCAACAGTAACAGCAAACCTTGAAGAACCTTCAACATCAACAGTAACAGCAAACCTTGAAGAACCTTCAACATCAACAGTAACAGCAAACCTTGAAGAACCTTCAACATCAACAGTAACAGCAAACCTTGAAGAACCTTCAACATCAGCAGTAACAGCAAACCTTGAAGAACCTTCAACATCGACAGTAACAGCAAACCTTGAAGAACCTTCAACATCAACAGTAACAGCAAACCTTGAAGAACCTTCAACATCGGCAGTAACAGCAAGCCTTGAAGAATGTTCAATATCAGTAGTAAAAGCAAGCCTTGAAGAACCTTCAACATCAACAGCTAGCCTTGAAGAACCTTCAACATCAACAGCTAGCCTTGAAGAACCTTCAACATCAACAGCTAGCCTTGAAGAACCTTCAGTATAACAGCAAAGTTTTTTTTTTTTTTAACAAACCGGCCATAACCCACTGAGCCAGGATGACCTAAAAAAAAAAAAAAACTTATTTTTCTTTATAAATTTAGTAATTTATACAGGAGGAGGGGTTACTAGCCCCTTGCTCCCACCATTTTAGTCGGCTCTTACCACACGCATGACTTGCAGAGGAAGAATTCTGTTCCACTTCCCCATGGAGAACATTTTAAAGTTCTCAGACATAAATTACTGCACTTTTTCCAGGAATCGAATGTTGCATCTTCACTTGAAGCGATTTGGCGTTGACTGTCAGCAGTGGTTAATTAAGGTGATGTGCGGCAGCGTTGAATTCTCTTCTATATACATGAACAACCACACGCCCAAGATTCTTATTATCTCCCGCCTCAGCTGTGAGAGAGCTGGTACCAGGTATGTGTCTGATGGTTGTTACCAGGAATGTGTCTGATAACATTGTACTGACAACATTGATAGCATTGTTCATTATTTATCCAGGTAATACAAAAACTGTTTTGCTTGATAGATAGTATTACCTGATAGATAATGAGATATGTATCTGGTGAAGAAGGCCTCAAATGGAGGTCAGAATACTCATGCCTGTGTTTCATATTTGTGTCCACTTGTTTTTTTCAGTTTGTTCTTCCTAGTCTGTAGATAGATAGTAGTGTTATCTATCCTAGTCTGTAGATAGACAGTAGTGTTATCTATCCTAGTCTGTAGATAGACAGTAGTGTTATCTATCCTAGTCTGTAGATAGAAAGTAATGTTATCTATCCTAGTCTGTAGATAGACAGTAGTGTCGTCTATCCTACTCTGTAGATAGACAGTAGTGTTACCTATCCTAGTCTGTAGATAGACAGTAGTGTCATCTATCCTAGTCTGTAGATAGATGGTAGTGTTGTCTTTCCTAGTCTGTAGATAGATGGTAGTGTTGTCTATCCTAGTCTGTAGATAGACAGTAGTGTTGTCTATCCTAGTCTGTTGATAGACAGTAGTGTTGTCTATCGTAGTCTGTAGATAGACAGTAGTGTTGTCTATCGTAGTCTGTAGATAGACAGTAGTGTTGTCTATCCTAGTCTGTAGATAGACAGTAGTGTTGTCTATTGTAGTCTGTAGATAGACAGTGTTGTCTATCCTAGTCTGTAGATAGACAGTAGTGTTGTCTATCCTAGTCTGTAGATAGTAGTGTTGTCTATCCTAGTCTGTAGATAGTAGTGTTGTCTATCCTAGTTAGAAGGTAGACAGTAGTGTTGTCTATCCTAGTCAGTAGATAGACAGTAGTGTTGTCTATCCTAGTCAGTAGATAGACAGAGAAGTTGTCTGTCCTAGTCTGGAAGAAGATTTTTGCATTGATGTCCAACTATTTGCTTGACAGATTCATGGTTCGTGGCGTCAACGATGGCGGTCATGTCGCTAACTTCGTCGAGACCGAACAAATGATTTACATCGACACAATGGACGATCTCATTTTATCCTATATCCAGACTCGCGGCACTGTGCCTCTCTTCTGGGAACAACCTGGCCTTAATGTAAGCTAAATGGCACTCTGGAAAAATGTTTTGCACTCTGGCACTAGGTTGGTGGTCAGCAACCATCCAGGGAGGTACTACCATCCAGGGAGATACGTAGTACCATCTAGGGAGGTACGCACTACCGTCCAGAGAGGTACGCATTACCGTCCAGGGAGGTACACACTACCGTCCAGGGAAGTATGCACTACCGTCCGGGGAGGCACGCACTACCGTCCGGGGAGGTACGCACTACCATCCAGGGAGGTACGCACTACCGTCCAGAGAGGTACGCACTACCGTCCAGGGAGGTACGCACTACCATCCAGGGAAGTATGCACTACCGTCCGGGGAGGCGCACACTACTGTCCGGGGAGGTATGCATTACCATCCGGGGAGGTACGCACTACCATCCAGGGAGGTACGCACTACCGTCCAGGGAGGTACACACTGCCATCCAGGGAGGTACGCAATACTGTCCAGGGAGGTACGCACTACTATCCAGGGAGGTACGTACTACCGTCCAGAGAGGTACTACCCTCCTGTGAGAGTGAAACAGAAGCCTGGTAAAAGTTTTGCACTCTGGAAGCTTACTTGTGTGATAAATATGTAAATTGACTGTAAATCCTGCTACTGTACATACATTCACTCTATTGTCTTCCCTGTGTCTATTTTGAGTCATTAATCATAAAATTTCACTTCTGGAGTGGAGAGACAGTGGCTTCCACTCCAGAACAACAGATATTAGTGCCAGCAAACAAAATCCCTCTACATACCATCAGTACAACAACATTTCTTATTCTTTCAAGAAACTGGCCGTATCTCACCAAAGCAGGGTGGCCCAAAAAGAAAAACAATATTTTCTCTTTTTAACTTTAGTAACCTATACAGGAGAAGGGGGTTACTAGCCCCTTGCTCCCAGCATTTTAGCCGCCTCTTATGACGCAGATGGCTTACAGAGGAAGAATTCTGTTCCACTTCCTAATGGAGATAAGAGGATATAAACCAGAACAAGAACTAGTAAGAAAATAGAAGAAATCCCAGAGGGATATGTATATATATGCTTGTACATGTATGTGTAATGTGACCCAAGTGTAAGTAGAAGTAGCAAGATGCACTTAAAATCTTGCATGTGTTTGAAACAGAAAAAAGGCACCAGCTATCCTACCATCATGTAAAACAATTATGTACAGGCTTCCGTTTAACACTCACTTGGTAGGGTGGTAGTACCTCCCTGGACGGTTGCTGTCTACCAGCCTACTACCTACGAACGACATTTATCTTAGCAAATATACAGGGTCTAAAGCCATCAACAAACAACAAAATACCTTTCATCAGTGGATTGCCCACAGAGTCGAATGCAATGTTTGCATCGTTCAGAGACCCACATAAAGGATCATTTTGACAACGAAATATAGATCCCAGGTTATAACTTATTCAGATGCAACAGTAAGAACAAGGAACAAGGGAGGGTTGGCCTGTATGTCACAGAGTCACTCGTTTGCTCTTAACTATTAAATACCACAAATGATGTAGTTGAAGTTTTGGCAGTAAACATTGAAAACCAAAACCTTGTCATTGTGGTTGTATACAAGCCTCCTGATACACCTTCCCAACAATTCCAGGAACAGCTTTTGAAATTTGACCACTGTCTGGAAAATCTCCCAACTCCTGCCCCAAACATCTTGCTGCTGGGTTATTTCAACTTAAGAAGACACCAGAAATTGAGGAATGTAACAAATAATGTTATAGCAGAGATAACCCCAGGAGGCAGCTCAGGTGAGAATTCACATGCACGAGCTATTAAATCTCTACAGCAAATTCACCTTGAGCCAGCAAATAGTGGGGCCAACATGACTGGAAAATACACTTGACTTCATCTTCACTAATAATGATGATTTGATATGAGATATAACAGTATCAAAGACAACACACTCAGATAACAACATAATAGAAGTACAGACATGTATGCATAGAGCTTCTGACAGTCAGAATGATATCATTTATGAGGGTGCCTTCACCAAATTCAACTTCATTAACAGAAATATACAGTGGGATCAGATCAACCATGTCCTAAATGAAACAAGCTGGGAAGATATCCTAAACAACACAGATCCGAACCTTTGCCTAGAAAGAATTAACTCTGTGGCACTTGAGGTATACTCAAGACATATTCCTTTAACCCTTTGACTGCTTTGGTCATATATATACGTCTTACGAGCCAGTGTTTTGGACGTATATATACTCAATAATTCTAGCGGCTTCAAATCAAGCAGGAGAAAGCTGGTAGGCCCATATGTGAGTGAATGGGTGTGTGTGGTCAGTGTGCACCACATAAAAAAAATCCTGCAGCACGCATTGCATAATGAGAAAAAAAACACCGCTTTTTTGGATTAAAACGTTGACTTTGAGGTGTATTTTTGTAGAGTATTTATCGTTGTATTCTTGTTTTCATGGTCCCACGTGATAAAATGGAAAACATATTACAGAAATAGAGGTGACTTTGATTAGTTTCATGATGAAAACGACTTTGAAATTGAGCTCAAAGTAGCAGAAATGTTCGATTTTTACTAATGTTCAGGAGTAACCAAATCACACCCCACGTCCAATACACATCAACTGGGGAGTCTAATATTCTTTCACTAGTGCACTGATATTATTTATACCACTTTTACAATAATGCAGTAGTCTGCATAACAGTAAATTTTGTATTTTTTGTATGAATAAAAAATCAAAATAGAAAGCAATAGTAATATAAGAGGGGCCTAGAGACGTGACTGATGAACAGAGGATATGTTATTTTAGTGCTGAGAATGTCTACATTGTTTATTCTGGACCCTGTTTTGAAATTGGCATCTTTTTTAATTTGCGTGAAATTGGCCAAATTGCCGATTTCTGACCACTTTATTGGGTAGTTCAAATTGGTAAATGGGCGGTTTCTTGTACTCAACTGATAGAAAGAATGGAGTTCTAAAGAAATAGCTTTGAGTTTGGTCAACTGGAACAACGGAATTGGCCAAAAACGGGGCTCAAAGTTGGCGAAATCGCCGATGCGTGTATGCCGCTGAGACTGCTAATTTTGCGGGAGCATAATTCCGTGAGTTTTCGACCAAATTTCATACTTTTGGTGTTATTACCATCGGGCAAACATTCTCTGTCATTTCATGAGAAAAAAAAATAATTTTTTTTCCAAAAATTTTGCGACATCAGAATGACAGTTTCAGAAAGGGGCTTGTGACAGTCAAAGGGTTAAGAAATAAGAGAAAATGTAAACTAGAAAGAGAGAGATGCTTCCTATACAGGCGAAGGCAAAGAATCACAGAGCTGCTGAAAGGGGCCAATATATCTGAAATTAGAAAGGAGCACTGGTCAGAGAAATAGCAAATATTGAACTTAAGCTTAAGGAGTCAAGCAGGGAACAAGAAACTCAGGAACAAAAGCCATAAATTAAATTAAAAAAACAAAATACTTCTTGTCTTACGCCAAATCTAGGACCAAAAACCACATCCCTGCTTAAATGAGATTGAACTTACACAGATGACAGCAAAGAAATGATTGAGATACTGAAGTCCCAATATAACTCAGCATTTAGCGAGTCGTTAATCAGACTAAAGGTTGACAATCTAAATTAATTTTTTATGACTGAGACTTAAAATTTGGTAAGTTCAAGAATTTCTGATATTATCCTAACACCACAAGAGTTTGAATAAACAGTAAATGACATGCCCATACACTCTGCCTTAGGCCCAGACTTGTGGAATTCCGTGTTCATCAAAAACTGGAAGAGGTCCCTTTGACATGCCTTAAGCATTCTGTAGAAAGGGAGCATAAACACGGGTCATCACACAATCGCTAAAAACAACGCATATAGCCCCACTCCACAAAGATGGCAGTAAAGCAGTTGCAGAGAATTACAGACCGATAGCACTAACATCCCACATCATTAATATCTTTGAAAAGGCTCTAAGAAGCAAGATCGCCACCCACATAGATACCCATCAGTTGTACAACCCAGGGCAGCATGGGTTTAGAGCAGGATGCTCTTGCCTTTCACAACTACGGGACCCCTATGACATGGTCTTGGATATACTGGAGGATGAACAAAATACAAATGTAGTATATACGGACTTTTCAAAAGCCTTTGACAAGTGCGATCATGGTGTAATAGCACAAAATGCATAATAAAGGAATAACAGGAAAAGTGGGTAGATGGATGTATAACTTCCTAACAAATAGAACAAAGAATAATAGTAAACAGAGTAAAATCTGAGGTGGCTACAGTGAAAAGCTCTGTTTCACAAGGCACAGTACTCCCATCCTGTTCCTCATCCTCACATCTGACATGGAGATGTCAGCTATAACATCATGTCCTCCTTTGTGGATGATACCCGAATTTGCATGAGTGTCATCAATTGAAGACACTGCAGATCTTCAGGCGAACTTCAACCAAACCTTTAAATGGGCTGCAGAAAACCGTGAAGTTCAATGAAGACAAATTTCAGTTACTCCACTATGGAAAACTCAGGAAAATAACAATTGCATCAGAGTATAAAACAAATTCCAACCACGCAGTAGAGCAAAAAATTAATGTGAAGGCCCTGTGAGTGATAATGTCAGAGGATCTCGCTTCCAAAGATCACAACAATGTATCTACCACATCTGCTAGGAAAATGATAGGATGGATAATGAGAGCCTTCAAAATTAGAGATGCCAAGCCCACGATGATCCTCTTCAAATCTCTTGTTCTCTTTAAGCTGGAATATTGCTGTACACTAAGGCTTCTTTCAAGGCAGGCGAAACTGCAGACCTGGAAAATGTAGAGAGAACTTTCATGGCACACATAAGTATGATAAAGCACCTAAATTACTGGTAACAGCTGAAGTCCCTTGATTTGTACTCTCTGGAATGCAGGCGAGAAAGGTACAGAATAATATACACTTGGAAAATCCTAGAGGGACTAGTCTCAAATCTGCACATGGAAATCACTCCCAATGAAAGCAAAAGACTTGGCAGGTGATGCAACATCCCCCCAATGAAAAGCAGGGGTAATCCCCCTTATGTATGCTGCCTCCCAGCATACATAAGGGGGATTACCAATAGACCCCTGGCTGTCTTCAAGAAGGCACTGGACTGATGCCTAAAGTCAGTACCTGAGCAGCCAACCTGTGGGTCCTATATTGGTTTATGTGAGGCCAGCAGTAACAGCCTAGTTGATTTGGTCCTGATCCACCATGAGGCCTGGTCATGGACCAGTCCACTGGGGTGTTGACCCCCGAAACCCCCTCCCGGTATTAAATTATAAATCTGCTTGTGTCTGCTGCTTTAAGACAGGCACTGGCCTAGTCCAATTAACAATTCACAGTTTAGTTAAATCTGAATTTCACAATTTATTTGTAAAATCTTTTACAATTGGTTTGCCAAAGAAGCTGCTGTGTGTTAGTTGTAACTGTGAGAAGATTATTGTTTGAGAATGTTAGTGTCGTCTGAACACTGATGTTAGCACACTTCTTGTAAGACAGTGATGAAGTGAATGATATTGAATGTGCTTCCTCTCTGTTGTGTCACATTGCCATGGTGGAAAACCACCGATCTGTTGAAGAAAAAATGTTTGAGAATTAACTTAAATAAATCCTTGATATAATGGACTTATAAAATTATACAAAACCCACTTAAAAAATTCTACCTTTAACTCCTCTGTTTTCAATTTATGTTGTAGTACATCTGCACATTGTGTGTACAGTACTGTATTAGGTGTCCAGTAGAGTAGTGTACTGGTTTACTGTATTTTATCATTGTGAAATAACAGACACCCACTATTGGTCTGTTACATTGAGCATTTACTGTATATAGTTCATTATTAATGTATTTGTTTACTGTGTGTCTTGCAGGTTGGTTCACACAAGGTAAAGATGTCTAGAGAACCTGAGGTTTCAGTTCAAGCCTTCCAGAAGCACATGAGATTTCTACGAGAGCGTTACGGCCAGCAGGTGGTGCTCAACCTGCTGGGTACTGGTGTCACTGGTCGCAGCCAGGGTGAAGCTGCACTCTCTCACATGTTCCAAGTAACTCACTCTTTTTGTACCCCTAAGCTCTTTCATACTTAACAAGACACATGCAACACTTGGGTATCCATATTCTGGAAGTGTTTTGCCAGCCAGTGGCTTCAGTCCAATGATGAGAAATGACAGAAAAGGAGTGAGAGAGAATCAGTCCCTCAGTTTGGAATCTGTGTGTTCAGTCCATTAAGACTGAAGGCCCAAAAACATTGACTCCAAGCTGAGGGACTGATTACCTCACACTCCTCTTATACCATTTCTCTGCATTGGACTGAAAAAGCCACTGACTAGCGAAATGTTTCCAGAATAAAGATACCCAAGTGTTGCATAAGTATCTTACTTATTGACTTGTTGGTATTCAAAATCATTTATTCAGTCTCTAATGCATTACTACATTAACATTACAGCACTCAAATTTACTGTAAGTGACAGAGGAATGGATCTTTGTGGTGGGTGTTTGCAATATAAACAAAATCCTGACCCTGGCAGTGTATAATGGGGGCAGTTAATGTCTGTCTTTGTGTTTAGTTGAAAACAGCAACTTCAAGGCATTTTCTCTGGTGGTTTTCATGGTTTTATTGGCTGTTTCTTAGTGCCAGTGAATGGTCTAGAAGACATACTTGTTGTATGGACAAGATTTGGGTTGGTATATGCAGTAGGACCCCTGTATCCATGGGTGATATATTCCAAGACCTACAGCCGATACCCAAAACCACGGATAGTAGTGAGCCCTATATCTATGTCATACCTATGATGAAATTTAAATGATAAATTATTCACAATAAGTGGAGAATTAGTACTTGTTCACTGATGGGAAGCACTTCACGGCTTCTCTTAGGCTTGAAGAATGTCATCATCACTGCTTTTGCACTTTGGGGCCATTATTAAGCAAAATTAAATATTATTTTCAGATCAGGGTAAGTCGCATATAATTGAAACCACAGAAGCTGAACCTGTGGATATGGCAGTCCTACTGTAATCAGAAGTGGCCTGAAATTGGAAAAAAATGGTCAGTTTTAGGCTGATTTTGCAGGGGAAGGGTAAGAAGACCTCCCTACCTTCCCCTGGTCTGTTTTATGGGTTTTTACCACATCTGCTTCAATATTAAAATGATTTAAACTATGACCAAGCATTTGGGTTGTCATTTATTAACCAAAGAACCACAGAAAAGACGTCAGTTTTTTTGGGGTGTGTGTGTGTGATGATGGGTGGTAAATGTAGGTCAAGTGTTACATAGGAGAGGCCCAGGTGTGTGATTAATGAACAGAGGAAATATTGTTTTAGTGCCTGCAGTGATTACACTGTTCATTGTGGATGCTTAGTAATAATGGTAGAATTACCAACAAAATGTTAAGTAAATGGACACAGGTGCAACTAATGTGTCCATCATATTGTGGCAACATTTTGCTCTCAAGACTTCACAAACATTACAAGGACATAGAGGATATATATAACTTGCCTAGTGACCATATGTACAATTACTGCACTGTTATTGCCTTATTATGCTCTACACATAAAGGGGCTTTTGGCATGTACACCCAATTGTTATAATCCTTTGTACAAACATGTATCATGCTAAAATAAAATTATTATAATAATAATAATAATTATATATCCTAGGTAGTAGGTTGGTAGACAGCAACCGCCCAGGGAGGTACTACCGTCCTGCGAAGTGAGTGTAAAACGAAAGCCTGTAATTGTTTTACATGATGGTAGGATTGCTGGTGTCCTTTTTTCTGTCTCATTAACATGCAAGATTTCAGGTACGTCTTGCTACTTCTACTTACACTTAGGTCACACTACACATACATGTACAAGCATATATATACACCCCCTCTGGGTTTTCTTCTATTTTCTTTCTAGTTCTTATTCTTGTTTATTTCCTCTTATCTCCATGGGGAAGTGGAACAGAATTCTTCCTCCATAAGCCATGCGTGTTGTAAGAGGCGACTAAACTGCCGGGAGCAAGGGGCTAGTAACCTCTTCTGTATATATTACTAAATGTAAAAGGAGAAACTTTCGTTTTTCCTTTTGGGCCACCCCGCCTCGGTGGGATACGGCCGGTTTGTTGAAAGAAAGAATTATTATATATATCATGTGAGGTGAATGATAGGTAATGATAGTAGTAGAGGAGTAGTAGTAGTAGTATGAGTGGAGGTAACTCTTGGTTGCTATGTGATAGCAGGGTTTGTTTGAGTAGAATTCTGGCTAATGCCTCCACAATGACGAACCTGCCTTTATTTTGTTTAATGGTGTCTGAAATGGCAATAAATATGACTCTATGCACTCATGCCTGCAGTAGTTTGCTTCTTTGATCACTAGGCAGGCATCACTGTATCTCATAAGATTGTTGGAGTTTCTGTGCTGTACACATGCAATGTTCAAGGTGTCATTTCTGCACGCATTTATGTATCCACTGAGATGTTTGAATAGTGCATTCTGTTTCACTAGTGTATATCTTTTCACAGCCTCCACAAGAGGCTGGTTCAAGGATCTTCACTTGTGTCCTGGTCAGGTCTTTGATGGATGTGCTGGTTATGATGGTGACTAGTGTTGGTTTATGCAAGTACTGTAGAGATGATCAAGGCAACTTGGCTGTTGGGAAGGATTATGATTTTGTTTTAAAGTGGTGCTAGTGTGTGGTGAATTGATAATTTGGAGGGCTCTTTTCTTAAAATTCCTAATAAAAAGGGAAGGAAATTGTATATCAGTGGGGGACCACCACAGTGTTAGAAAGGAGGAAAGATGGCTGGTCTGAGACCATGCCTCAGGGACCATCATCCTCAAAACTTTAAAAAAATATAAAATATAGTAAATTATTGTATTTTTCAAGAAAATAGCTTTATTACTCAAATACAACTCAGAGGAAATGTTTCTTGTGTCACATGCAACACATCTACTACTGGTGGAGTAAGGACTCACTTCACATCAACTTTGTTTCAGATCCAGCACATCAACTGCTGCTGGAGTAAGGACTCTCCTCACATCGTCTTCGACTTCCATCAAGAGTGTAAGGGCGGTCATATAGAAAACCTCCACAAAAAACTTCAGCCTCGAATCAAAGATGAAATGGAAAGCTTTGGTTACTTCTGTTCCAGGAAGGGCCAAGTGATGTCTGTGAGTGCAACACTAAGTGTTATCTTTAATTGTTAAGTGAAACTTTAATCTGTTTGTGTCATTCAACACTAGCTGTGGTGGAGACTTGATCCACTATCATGTATGGATCATTCAACACTAGCTGTGGTGGAGACTTGATCCACTATCATGTATGGATCATTCAACACTAGCTGTGGTGGAGACTTGATCCACTATCATGTATGGATCATTCAACACTAGCTGTGGTGGAGACTTGATCCACTATCATGTATGGATCATTCAACACTAGCTGTGGTGGAGACTTGATCCACTATCATGTATGGATCATTCAACACTAGCTGTGGTGGAAACTTGATCCACTATCATGTATGGATCATTCAACACTAGCAGTGGTGGAGACTTGATCCACTATCATGTATGGATCATTCAACACTAGCAGTGGTGGAGACTTGATCCACTATCATGTATGCATCATTCAACACTAGCAGTGGTGGAGACTTGATCCACTATCATGTATGGATCATTCAACACTAGCAGTGGTGGAGACTTGATCCACTATCATGTATGGATCATTCATTACTAGCAGTGGTGGAGACTTGATCCACTATCATGTATGGATCATTCAACACTAGCAGTGGTGGAGACTTGATCCACTATCATGTATGGATCATTCAACACTAGCAGTGGTGGAGACTTGATCCACTATCATGTATGCATCATTCAACACTAGCAGTGGTGGAGACTTGATCCACTATCATGTATGCATCATTCAACACTAGCAGTGGTGGAGACTTGATCCACTATCATGTATGGATCATTCAACACTAGCAGTGGTGGAGACTTGATCCACTATCATGTATGGATCATTCATTACTAGCAGTGGTGGAGACTTGATCCACTATCATGTATGGATCATTCATTACTAGCAGTGGTGGAGACTTGATCCACTATCATGTATGCATCATTCAACACTAGCAGTGGTGGAGACTTGATCCACTATCATGTATGCATCATTCAACACTAGCAGTGGTGGAGACTTGATCCACTATCATGTATGCATCATTCAACACTAGCGTGGTGGAGACTTGATCCACTATCATGTATGCATCATTCAACACTAGCAGTGGTGGAGACTTGATCCACTATCATGTATGCATCAATTCAACACTAGCAGTGGTGGAGACTTGATCCACTATCATGTATGCATCATTCAACACTAGCAGTGGTGGAGACTTGATCCACTATCACGTATGGATCATTCATTACTAGCAGTGGTGGAGACTTGATCCACTATCATGTATGGATCATTCAACACTAGCAGTGGTGGAGACTTGATCCACTATCATGTATGCATCATTCAACACTAGCAGTGGTGGAGACTTGATCCACTATCATGTATGCATCATTCCACACTAGCAGTGGTGGAGACTTGATCCACTATCATGTATGCATCATTCAACACTAGCAGTGGTGGAGACTTGATCCACTATCATGTATGGATCATTCATCACTAGCAGGGCCTGAGGATTTGTTAGGTTTTAGTTTCTCTATTTGTCTGAGGACCATGTCACTAGTTACCACAATCGTACATAGTTTATTATCATCCTGTTCTACATAATCTATTATTTCAGGAATTTTTTTTTTCTTTCAACAAGTTGGCCGTCTCCCACCGAGGCAGGGTGACCCAAAAAAGAAAGAAAATCCCCAAAAAGAAAATGCTTTCATCATCATTCAACACTTTCACCACACTCACACATTATCACTGCTTTTGCAGAGGTGCTCAGAATACAACAGTTTAGAAGCATATACGTATAAAGATACACAACATATCCCTCCAAACTGCCAATATCCCAAACCCCTCCTTTAAAGTACAGGCATTGTACTTCCCATTTCCAGGACTCAAGTCCGACTATATGAAAATAACCGGTTTCCCTGAATCCCTTCACTAAATATTACCCTGGTCACACTCCAAACAGATCGTCAGGTCCCAAGTACCATTCGTCTCCATTTTACTCCTATCTAACACGCTCACGCACGCTTGCTGGAAGTCCAAGCCCCTTGCCCACAAAACCTTCTTTACCCCCTCTCTCCAACCCTTTCGAGGACGACCCCTACCTCGCCTTCCTTCCCCTATAGATTTATATGCTTTCCATGTTTATTCTACTTTGATCCATTCTCTCTAAATGACCAAACCACCTCAAAACCCCTCTTCTGCCCTCTGACTAATACTTTTATTAACTCCACACCTTTTCCTAATTTTCACACTCCGAATTTTCTGCATAATATTTACACCACACATTGCCCTTAGACAGGACATCTCCACTGCCTCCAACCATCTCCTCGCTGCTACATTTACCACCCAAGCTTCACACCCATATAAGAGTGTTGGTACTACTATACTTTCATACATTCCCTTCTTTGCCTCCATAGATAAAGTATTGTGACTCCACATATACCTCAATGCACCACTCACCTTTTTTCCCTCATCAATTCTATGATTAACCTCATCCTTCATAAATCCATCCACCGACATGTCAACTCCCAAGTATCTGAAAACATTTACTTCTTCCATACTCCTCCTCCCCAATTTGATATCCAGTTTTTCTTTATCTAAATCATTTGATACCCTCATCACCGTACTCTTTTCTATGTTCACTTTCAACTTTCTACCTTTACACACATTCCCAAACTCATCCACTAACCTTTGCAATTTTTCTTTAGAATCTCCCATAAGCACAGTATCATCAGCAAAAAGTAACTGTTAATTCACATTTGAATTTGATTCCCCATAAATTTAATCCCACCCCTCTCCCGAACACCCTAGCATTTACTCTTTTACAACCCCATCTAATAAATATATTAAACAACCAATGGTGACATTACACATCCCTGTCTAAGACCTACTTTTACCGGGAATAGTCTCCCTCTCTTCTACACACCCTAACCTGAGCCTCACTATCCTCATAAAAACTCTTTACAGCATTTAGTAACTTACCACCTATTCTATATACTTGCAACATCTGCCACATTGCTCCCCTATCCACTCTATCGTATGCCTTTTCTAAATCCATAAATGCAATAAAAACTTCCCTACCTTTATCTAAATACTGTTCACATATATGCTTCAATGTAAACACTTGATCTACACTTGATCTACAGTATTTTAACATAAGAACATAAGAAAGGAGGAACACTGCAGCAGGCCTGTTGGCCCATACTAGGCAGGTCCTTTACAATTCATCCCACTAACAAACATTTGACCTACCCAATTTTCAATGCTACCCAAGAAATAAGCTCTGATGTGCAAGTCCCACTCAAATCCAAACCCATCCCACTCATGTATTTATCCAACCTAAATTTGAAACTACCCAAAGTCCTAGCCTCAATAATCCAACTAGGTAGACTGTTCCACTCATCTACTACCCTATTTCCAAACCAATACTTTCCTATGTCCTTTCTAAATCTAAACTTATCTAAAGTAAAAGGACACAAGTGCAACTAATGTGACATTTATTGTGGCAACGTTTCACTCTCCAGGAGCTTTATCACCCATTTGCCTGGGTGAAAACTGAGAGGAAGTAGGTATTTAGAATTTCACACACATCCTTATCACTGTCAGTGATCTGACCAGAGTTACTCTTGAGTGGGCCAATCTTGTCCCTAATCCTACTTCTGTATACCTGAAAGAACCCTTTTGGGTTAGTCTTTGAATCCCTTGAGACCTTAGCCTCATAATCCCTTTTTGCTTTTCTTATTCCTTTCTTTATTTCTCTCTTTAATTGAATGTATTGATTCCTTAACTGCCCATCCCCTCTTTTGATATGCCTATATATGCCTCTCTTTTGACCAATGAGATGTTTTAATCTATTGTTCATCCATTTGGGATCATTTTTGTTGGATCTTATTTCCCTACTCCGAACAAAAGTTGTCTGGGCAGCTAGAACTATGCTCTGAAAAACGTCATATTGGCAACCAAGATCACCTACCTGACCCATAGTCAAGACATCCCAATTTAGCCCACCAAGGTAATTTTTCAGTCCCATGAAGTCGGCCAAGCGAAAATCTGGGACAGAGATTTGATTGCAGTTATCTGGGTAATTCCATGATATATTGAAACTAAGTGATTTGTGATCACTTTCCCCAAGCTCATCATTAACCTCAAGATTATTAATTAGTGAATCTTTGTTGGCAAGAACCAGGTCAAGCAGATTGTTTCCTCTAGTTGGTTCTGTCACAACCTGTTCTAAAAAGCAATCCTGAACCGTATCAAGAAAGTCACTAGACTCAAGATTTCCTGTCATATTGTTCCAATCAATTTGTCTAAAGTTAAAATCTCCCATTATAACAACATTTTCATATCTGAAAGCAGTGAAAGTTTTTACGAGGATAGTGAGGCTCAATTTAGAGTACATAGGAAAGAGGGAAATTATTTCCCAGTAAAAGTAGGCCTTAGACAAGGATGTGTGATGTCACCGTGGTTGTTTAATATATTTATAGATGGGGTTGTAAGAGAAGTAAATGCGAGGGTCTTGACAAGAGGCGTGGAGTTAAAAGATAAAGAATCACACATAAAGTGGGAGTTGTCACAGTTGCTCTTTGCTGATGACACTGTGCTCTTGGGAGATTCTGAAGAGAAGTTGCAGAGATTGGTGGATGAATTTGGTAGGGTGTGCAAAAGAAGAAAATTAAAAGTGAATACAGGAAAGAGTAAGGTTATGAGGATAACAAAAATATTAGGTGATGAAAGATTGGATATCAGATTGGAGGGAGAGAGTATGGAGGAGGTGAATGTATTCAGATATTTGGGAGTGGACGTGCCACAGATGGGTCTATGAAGGATGAGGTGAATCATAGAATTGATGAGGGGAAAAGGTGAGTGGTGCACTTAGGAGTCTGTGGAGACAAGAACTTTGTCCTTGGAGGCAAAGAGGGGAATGTATGAGAGTATAGTTTTACCAACAGTCTTTATATGGGTGTGAAGCATGGGTGAAAGAATGTTGCAGCGAGGAGAAGCTGGAGC